TGAATCCTCTAATGATATTGCCATACATTTTCAATCAAAAAGCCTCCACTGCTAGAGACAATACGTGCTAAGACCTTGGGAAAAAACATGACATAAGGCATGGTGCAGTCACTGGTGGAAGGACGTTTGGCCCTGACATCTGATTATTGAAAATGTCTTGGTTTTTCTGTGCTTTAATCAAAGTCTTTATTGTATTTTACTTTTTAATTGAACTAAATTAGGTCAATGAAAACAAAATAAATCTTCCTATTTGCCTTTATAAGGATTTCTTTTGTGCTTGGACACCTAATGGGAGACAATGACATACCTGCTGAACACTACCACCCCTTGGTTTTGCCAGTGTAAAACCCTTAATAAAGGAGGCTGTCTTTAAGCATAATTTGCTACACCATCAAAGCAGAGGCAACCAAAATTTGTTCAAGAACACAAAAGGCACAGCTGTGGAAAGAGGCAATCTAATGATGCTGCACCAACCCAATGGTGCATCAAGGGTCCCAGCCTTTGCAAACAGTTAACTGTATTTCCTTCAGACTTTGGGAGCGTTACTAATTAGGATTTTAAGGGGGTTTGCACATGCATGTGTGTGTGTGTGTGTGTGAGAAATTGGTATTCTGTAACAATTAGAAAAGCACAAAGTATAAAGTAAGTATGTACTAATTGCCTATCTGCTATCCACTCTCATGGTGAGACCAACTAGGAGCCTCATCAGGCTGAATCGTAGCTCTTTCATGACAACACCTAGCTAAGTGCCTAGCTTCAAGCATGCACCCAATAATCATTTGTGATTTATTATCCTCATGAAATATCAGTAATTAACTGGCACTGTACCTAGCATTTAATCTGTAGCTTAAGCATCAAGAAAACTTTTCTAGAGGAAAACTTTATCAAACCAAGGAAATGAGTTTTAGCTTCTTATTCTTGGCTTTCTGTGTGGAGACGTCGAATCTGCTCCTTTTGTTTGTATTATATTTCTAAGATTTATGCTGAACATTTCTGAAGATATAAGATCCAGTGTCTTAGATACAAAGTAAGACAAATGTGTCCTCAGTCACTTTGCACTGCTTAATAAGGCCCTGTTCTTCACCTTAATTCCACCACGCTTCCCCCAGTGTCGCAGTTAGAGGTCTCTAAAACACAGAAGAAAAAGGAGTGTACTTTTAAATCATAACCAAAGAGCAGACACTTTCAACTGCATATAGACAGCCCTATCAACTTGTTTTCCTCTCCTGTGCTAACCATGGTCTTTGTTTCCCTAAACATAGGAAGATAGCACATAAAAGGAAAAGCAAACTCCTAAACATTAATCAAGTTTGGTTGCAAGATAAAAGTTCCTTAAAATACCAAAACATCATCTGCAAAAGAAAAGTGCATTGGAAAGAAAATCAGCACCATTTGATCTTGTTATAAATGGAAAGTTTTGGACACTTTAGAAAAAAAGCAGCAAGTGCCTTTTTAATGGATTTTATCTGCAGGAAAATGATTACAACCAGAAAAGCTTTAAAGTGTCAGCTGGTGATGCATTTTTCTTTATCCCTTTTATTTTTATTCAGAAGGAAATTGAATGCATATGGCAAAGTGCATCATTAATTTCTTATTAATTTCATAATATGAAGGCAACCAGTTAAAATAGTAGTGCTACAACTTTAAATTACCGAAGTCACTTGGTATTTAATGAGAGATTTAGCACAGCAGGGGTTCTGTTAAATTAAGTTATGCCTTCACATCACAGTGGGAAAACAGGTGTATATTGGTTTAGAATTATGGAAATGTTGACGAATTCCAAGGCTTGTAATCAAACAGCAAGGCTCCCTGTAATATTTTTTCCCCAAGAATATGCATTAATCTTTTATGTCTGGTCCCATTTCTTCATGTCCACCAAAGGCTCACAGCTGAAAGGCAACCACTTTCATGTTTTCCTTGCAGCTGTTAAGGGTGGTATTTATCAGATAAAGCTGCACATAAATGCAAGATGTGGAACTCCATCCCTATTTACCACATTTGAAATAACAAATAGAGCAAGTGCATACATTGTAAAAGCTATGAGCCATACAAATTAGATCTGACTTTTCAAACTTTTGTTTAGCCTGCCTCAAGTTACTGGGCACATGAAATTGAATTGGTTAAAAAGAAACCGAAAAACAACCTACCCATCATCTTTTTCCAACTCCCAAATTATTGCCCTTGATAATGGGTCTCCAAAGCTATCACTTCTAAATGTCTCATGCAGAAATTTTAGGAAGAGGAAAAAAGTACAATATTAAAAATACATATGGAAAGTGTCACTTGGTTGCCAATAAAAGGGTCAGGATAAGATATCCCAGACAGAGGCATACTTATTAACCTTTCTATGCGTTTCAATATTCCCTGGTCAAATTAACTGTGTTTCCAGAAATCATCTTCACACAGGTATAGGGCATGCTGGGGGCTGTGCTTCTAGTATACAGGATACATCAAAATTAATCAAGCTTTGTTTGCCAGCTGTTCCTCAGGCAAAGGATTACTATCAAGAACATATAAAGAATCCCCCCACACACAAAATCAGTTTTCCCAAATTTAAAAACCCAAACCCAAAATTGGCAGCTGAGAAAAATACACACTTCTCAGATGAAGAAATACAAACAGCAAATAAACATATGAAAAAATGTTCATTGATCATTCGAGAGATGCAAATTAAAACAACACTGAGATTCCACCTCATCTTGGAAAGAAAGGCTATTACTAAGAAATCAACCAATAACAAATTCTGGAGGGGCTGTGGGGAAAAAGGACCTATTCTCCACTGTTGAGGAGAATGTAGACTGGTACAATCACTGGTAATCAGGGTGAACATTCCCCAAAAAACTAGGATTAGAGGTCCCATTTGACCCAGCTATTCCCCTTCTGAGTATCTTCCCAGAAGAATTAAAAACATCATATTACAGCGATATATGTGCATCATGTTTATTGCAGCACAATTTGTAATCTCTAGACCTTGGAAACAACCTAAATGCCCATTTACTGAGAAATAGATAAAAAAGATGTGGTATTCTTATACAAAGGAGTACTACTCAGCCATAGAGAAGGATAAACTGGAGACTTTTATAGGTAAATGGATGCAACTTGAGACCATAATCATAGGTGAAATAAATCAGACACACATGTATGGACATCATAGTGTCTCACTAGTATGAGAAGCTGAAAAACTATATACATAAAAGATAGTTATACAGTAGTATAAATAAGTATATTTCTCTGAGCTTATTGAAGAGAAAGGTTTATGCTAGTATTGTTTGGAAGATTAAATGCACAATTACATGTAACTGATTTGAAGGTAACAACATGCAATGTATATAACATTGTTACCCCCTAATTGTTGTGTTTTAAAATTTTATTTCTTTTCTCTTTAAAATAAAATAAATAAAAAATTAACCAAGCTTTGCATTTAGTTAAAATATGATGCTATCTGGCATCAAACTATATTATACCTCACATGTTAAATAATGCTTCATCTCAAATAATTTTCTAACATACCCAGGAGGAATTTTGTGTGCTAATTATTGCAAAGCATTTACTTTTAAGAGAAGGAACATAAAGTGGTCTTTGCATTTAATTAAGAGCCTGGAAAATTATTGCCTTCAGTTGTTGGCTGGGCCAGTAAATATTTGCCACAATTGCTTCATTCAATAATGTGACCTAACACTGCAATCTTCTAGGATTACATTAGAAAAATTCCATTTACATGGAGGATGAAGCTATAATACTACTATTTTTTTTAAGTCACTAAGCAAAGCACTTAGACTTAAAAAAGCAGCCTTACTAAAAATCACCTTGAAAGTTTAAGGGAGAATTAAATAGGGAAGGATCATTCTGGTACCATATACTTGTTTTTCTCTTTTTGATTTGCTTTCATAGACAGAGAGAAACCAAAGTTGCATGGTGCAAGATCAAGGTTCACAATTTATTAGTTGAGTGATTAAAATGCTTAATATTCAGAAAATACTTTGCTGAGCATTTCCAACTATAAATACAAAATTTTCAATGGTTTCTGAGGGTATGGGGATAAAATACATATGTGTGCACCCATGTTAGTATGCATATGTATGCACACACATATTTTAGTGCATAAGGACAATAAGAGATAGCTGACATAGTTAGAACTGCACCATGAAAACATTGTGGGCATTATTTTATCTTGCTTTTACTAAATCAAACTTCAATAAATTCACTATCAGTACACTATTTACACCCAGTTCCTTCATTAGAAACAATGTGTATCATTATGATACTGAATGCACTCATCATTGATATCTAGGAAAACATAAAAGCAACGAAAGGAAATTTATACTTGTATGCAATATGTAAAAGTGCCACAAATCCCTTAAAATAATTTACTCTGATAAAGTTACTGTATGCAATATCGGTTCATTCTAGTGTACTACACCAATCATAGAATATTATTAGGAAGAAAATGGAAAAAATATTGTAAGCTTTGTATTTTCTGTTCTGTAGCAACATGAAGCCACAAATTGGACATTAAAACATTGACTTTGTTAACCACCATTGACTGTTTAGAAATCATTAGGAGGCTTAATATTATGGCTGTACAGGGTACATTTTGTTCTTTCAAAAGAAAATCTAAAGACTAAATTTGAAAAGGTGCTCCTGGTGAGTAAAAGCTTTTCCTTTTCCATTTGCTTCACTTGTGTGTTGGGGTTTTTTTTTTGTTCCTTTTAAAATCTTAGCCCACCCAAAAGTCTTTGGCAGTCACTATACGCAGTGGGGTCACTCTGATTTTCTAACCAGGGGATGTGCTATCTGAGAGCTCTTCCCATCAGTGTTAATGCCAGTGCTTCTTTATGGGCAGGCCAGCTGGTTTGGCTGCTTAGGGAACAGAGGGGTCAGCACACCCCTCAAGAGACCAAAGTAATTTTTGGCACTAAGAACCCATAACTAGAAACTTCAGTTGAAAGGACCATTTTCAAGCAATAAAGTGATTTTGGTACAAAAGTAAAGTGACTCACCCCAGGTAAAGTTTTAATATTGTGCAGTGCATTCTGGGCTTCAAGTGCAGCTTTTCTTGTATAAAATGTTACGAAACAACAACCTACAGAGAGAAATGAAAAGATTTTAGAAATTTCTGTGAATGCTTTGCTTAGATATAATGGAGACTGTGGTGAACAAATAATCTACTTAAAAGGATGCACAATTTAAAAATAATAAAGTGCATGAGAACAGTAATAACATCTAGCGCATTTACACAGTGCCTTTCATCCCAAATCACATGTGTAAGCTTTACTCATGCTGGATATCAGTTCATAACTTTGTATACCAACTATGTGGAATACAGCTATTCAAGAATGAGAGTGGGAGGTGGTGGTGTGAGGGTGAAGTTTTAATGGGGTTTGTCACATAGCAGCTACATGAAGAGAAGTACTTAATCACAATAACAATACCATAAACTTACAGTAACTAATTCTCTTAAAGGATATCGCTAGAATATCACACTTTGAAAGCACTTTCTAACCTTAAAGGTTTAGACAATTGGATTCTAAGTTTCCTAAAAGCGAGGATATTCCTTTTTATCTGCAACACAGTACATAATGCAAAGTTCTATACAAATGACTATTCAATGCTTGTTTGCTACAATGAAAGGCTGTGTTTTAGTCAGGTTAAAAATTAAGTTAAAATCTGATGAGTAAGTGACTAGACAATTCTGGCCTGTGTAGTAAGTATGGCTGTGGCATACCTCTGGATTCCTCATCTCCAAGAGCCCATGGAGTACTGGCCAAAGCCCATGGAGTAGGCCAGCAGATACCCTCTTTCTAACCAACTTCTTCCTCCAAAGATGATGTTGAAATCTTAGACTATTCCTTCTGGGTCCTGAGGATGGTTGTCTCTTCAACTCACAAAGACACTGGTTAACAATATTTTAATCAGCACAGAGTTATGTAGATTACCAGGCTTGGGAAAAGAAAGTAAATAACTTTAGAAAAGTAAATAAAAAGGATTCTGCCTTTGATCTTGCTAAGTTAGGGATGAGGAAAAAATGGAGCAAGGCACTCAGCAAACCTGTATATACTGCAACTTTGCTTTGTACAAGATCCTAACACATGGAGCCAAAGAGGGATGGGATGAGTTTAGAGAGGCACTCATACTACAAGAACAGAAAACAGCCTGAGAGAAATGGGTAGCACTTAGTCATCAGTATCGACTGTATTTAAGGAATGCTGCAAATATAACAAAAAGCAGAACAAAGTAATACAGTTGCAGGCAGGAAGCGGGCATTGCAAGCCATCATAGATTTAACCACACACTGGCATTCCAATTTCTCAACATATAAAATTCATTCAGTGGGATAGGGTAAAATCAAGCACGATACCATTTATATGGCATTTTAAAAGACATCTAAGATGCTCCCTCCTCATTTGGGAAAAAAAATAAACGTAGAGCCTTTGTCTTATAACTGGTTTAGTCAGAGTCTACCAAGATTAACATATTCAAAACTTTCACCTTTTGGACGAAGCAGAGTCTGACCCTAGTTTCTCGGCACTGTCCAAGGATCAGAAACCCTTCACATATATCATTTGAATGATGGAAGGAAATGAAAATTATGAAGTTTCTGAAGAATCACAGATAAAGAGATTGACCATTTTTATATGATTTTTACTTCACCTATTTTAACTCTGACAAAAGTCCATTTGGTCATGTTGTTTAAGGAGACCTTTTACTGAATTGATCAACTCTTACTTGAGCTTCACTGGCACAATGAAAGCCCCAGAAAAGCTGTAAGAATTACTTATAATCAAGGAATAATTTTAAGCAAAAAATTTCCAATTTCTAGTAACCTATCATAATAATTTTTAGACAGGAAAAATATAAAACACGCATCACTAGACTTAGTCCAGAAAGAAAAACAGGAAAAGCTTTCTAAATGCTTCTAGCAAACACTCTCAGTATGTTCTTTCATTCTTCTAAGCTGATATGGCTGGCTTCCAGATAAGGATGTAATTAAGAAATCCTGAATTTCAACTTCATTTAATAATCAAAGCTTCAAAAAATAAAATCTGACCCTTTCATTAAGGTGACCTTTGAGGGGTGATACATCTTTTAAAAAGTGATGGACACTGTTCCTTTCACTGGAAAGACAATTAAGGAAGAATAAAGCTCAGGAATGAAAAATATGCTCAGAGTCAAGAATGCAAAAACTTCTCAGTGTGGTAGCACAACATGTAATCTCAGCACCTGGAAGGCTGAGGCAGGAGAATCACGTGAGCATGAGGTCACCCTGCACTACATAGTGAGTTCAAGGTCAGCCTGAACTATGTAGCAAGACCTTGTCTCCAAAAAGAGAAAGAGAATAAATAAATAAAAAGAGAATGAAAAATTTAGGGTCAAGAATGAAAAGTATAGCTTGGCCTAAAAGAACAGAAAAATGAAAGGAGACTGAAAATGAGAAGCTAAATACAATGAGAAGACAAAACAATAACAAATCATGGTGATGTAAACTGAGGGAACTGTGTGCCTGCTGTGTTGGGCCAATTAGAAGAGCTTTGACCAACCTACAGAGGAGTAAAGGAAGCTCTCCTGTCTTGGTCACCCAAACTAAATCCCTGTTGTTTTCTCACAACCTAAGAGCCCAAGAGGACCACTGGTCCATGCGCTACTTAAGTATCAAAATGGTACCACTGAGGAAAGATTCATTTAATTGCTTTTAGCTATTTACATTAGTGTAGATTTGACTACTTAAAGTGCTTTCTTCATAGAAAAGTTTTTTTTTTAATTGGTTGGTTTTGATATTATTTATTTTTATTTTTTTGAGGAAAGGTAAATTTGAAGCTAGTATCTGAGCAGTTATGGACAACCAGAAGAGAAGGGGAAAGGAAAGAAAATGAGATGGGAATACCCTGTCTCTAGCTCTTTCTGATTTCACCCACGATTCACTTTGCCTGTGGAAATGTGGCAGTGAAATCAGAGACTGATCATTGCATTTCCTTTTCAAATGACATAAAGCTCATAATCCTATCACTATATATCCATTTAAACTGAGAGTCTTTAAAAGTGTACTGGGCTGGGGATATAGGTCCGTGGCATAGTGCCTGTGCCTGGCAAGTGCAAGGTCCTGAGTTAGATTCTTGGTAACATAAAACAGAAAAAAACCAAACCAGTGTACCAAGATAATCTCTAGTTTTAATGTAGCACACAGGACAATGCCTTGGGTAACATGAGTGACGGGCTTCCTTCACTGTTTGCTCATTTGCTCCCAAACAACAGGTCAGCTCTATTAGTGCTGTGCTTGGCAATTAAACTTGGAACCTTTGTGTAAATTAAAAAAAAGTGCCCTATCTTAAGTGGGTACAGCCTCACAGTTCACGGCTTGGGGAGCAGAGCCTAAGCTACAATTTTACTTTTATTTGCAGCTTCTCACATTTGCTGTACATTAAGTTAGCCCTAATTTCATTACCTTTAATCAATTAACAACAACCAAGTCTAAAATCCTTCACCCCACCTCAAAGAATCTGTGTGGCTATTTCGCCATAGTGCTTCATTCAGAACAACCTTAAAATTTAAAAACCTTAAAAAGCTTATAGGGCTAAAATGACTTATCTTGCAATTTGCATGCATAATAATTTACTTAATTAAAATAGTGTTTGGGTAGGTTATCTTAAAATCTGTAGAGAAAATACAGGCCTCCAAATTTTAAGAGTCACATTAGAAGCAGCAGTTAGTATTTCTCCCCTAATGGGACTCTGATTGGTACATTTCCAGAATCTGGCTGTATCTGAAAGATTGGTGGTTCTATGAATACTGCCCCAGAAAACAGTCATAATTTTTTTTAAACCTATACTGCATGATTTTTCATATATGAGAAACCTAAAATATAAATAAATTTTATAACAAAAGATAATAGGAAACAGGAAAATAGATCATTTGCAAGAGGGAAAAGGAAGAAAAAAGAGTTAAGTTGTGTTATATACATGCACCAACTCCCTATGATGAACACCATCATGTACTATTAACATGTACTAATAACGATTAACAATCCACCTGTCATTAAAATATACACTTAAAACCAGATTCGTTGACCTGCAGAGAATAACGCAACAGAGAAGGGAAGAATATCCTTATTTGCCCTTGTATGGTAACAAGGCAAAAGGCCAGGGGGAAACTATAGCTCTTAGAAAAACCATAAAGGCTCAACAAGCATGAAATTTTCTTTCTTGCCGGCCCTAACTGAAAGTACAGCTGCTATGGGAACCACCTGTTTCTTAGATTTCCCCACGCCAGCTGTAACTCAGGTCTGAACTATACTGGATTCATTTCCAGGTCAGCTGCAACACCAGATGGCTCAGCCTTTGGATTCAGGGGACATGATTCTCTCCTTCTGCAAGTTTTGTTTCAACATCAGTGTGAGGTGGGTGGTTAAACATCTACAATACCCAGATGCTCTTCAGTGGTCAATGGCTGCAACACATCCCTCAGGCCTGTGTTCAGGAGCCCACCCTTTCACTGCTGTCCACAGAGTACAGAGAAAAGAGGCTTGTTCCATGTTTAAAAAAAAAAAAAAAAAAGAGTGACTGACTGGCCAGGGGACTGTAGGGTCAGCAGAGACTGATGCAGCTTGATGAGTCAGGTGTTTCAGCAGTCTCAGCCCTCCTATTTCTGCATAGTGCTAGTAATTTTTGCAGCTCCACATTTTCCTAGTTTGTTCGTTTGACACTAATAAGCGCTTACACTTTACAATTTGTGCCTCCCTTATCCACTCATTTAGGAGTTTCTGCCAGGAACAGCAGCCAAGCTAGAAAAGACAAATGTGATGTCCCATACCCACCTTACCTTTTGACATTCATGTTAAAATAATTTTAACAATCCACTGGGTTAGTAAAAGCCTTGGAAGTTGAAACAAACCATAAAACTTAATCACTCCTCATGTATCTATTTATGAATCTCTCCCACATTACTCCTCACCAGGACTTTAAAACTCACAGGTGGAATAGGTACACTGGGTGAAACTTGACAGGTGATTTCAGAATCCTGTATCAGTCTCAGGTATGTGTACAGTCTAACATTTCCACTGATGACTCCCTTTGTTGATCACCAAAAGAT